TTGATATGCGAAAAAATTCTATGTCAATATCATATTATTTGTTACAATAATATAGTTTATTGTTGTCGCAAGTAGATAAAGAAAGTGGATTAAACAAATAGATAGATAGCTTTATTTATTACACGATCTAGAATAAAATTCTCTCAAACTAAAAACATTTATATCAATAATCAATAAAAATATACAATAATATATACAAACAATAAAAGAAAAAAGTTAAAATTACAAAAAATAAATGTATATAAACGAAAGAGTAATCTATTTATTTGTTGCATCAGTATGTAAATTTGTTATTTTGGCTCGTAGCCCTTCTTAACATACTCTTATTTAATTCCATTACTTGAGCCATATTATATTGAGTCGGGAAAAAAGTTTCTTCGTATTTTTTAAAATTGTATATACAATATCTTCGTAAAAAATGAACAAAATTTAAATTTAAAAATAGAATAGAAATTTAAGAATAGAAATTTTTTAAAGTTTGAAATCTCTACTTTCGAAAGGTTACTATAATTTTTGAGTTTCTGTGAGTTTGGTAACTTTTATATTTAAAAAACTACAAGCTGAAAAAAATAAAAAATTTTCTTTTCACTTTGAAGGTCTCTCATGTGCCCAAAAAAAATTTACGAAAATTTTCGACTATTTATCATAAAAGCTTGAAGCTTTCCCTATAAAATCTTTTTTTTTAATGTTCTTATGATTTTTGATTCCTGAGTTATTCGCGAATTAAGTAAAGAAGCATTCTGATTTTGATTGCTCATAACTTCGATAAAAATCATCATTCACCGCAATTTAAAAAACAGATTCTTAAAGCTGAAATTTTGTTCTAGCAAATGATATAATTGTAACGAACATTTCGCAATAAATAAAAAACTTTTACAAAAAAATCTTTTTAAAAATGAAAAAATTTTTTCTCGATCCAATATTATTTTTAATTTAATGTCTTGTATGCAAAGCTGGACATGTATTCGAAATACTTTTACTTGAAAAACATTCGTAAGATAATTATATTTTAATTATATTTACAAGACAATTAAATTTTATATTTTGTTTCTAATTGGAGGATATAAAAGTATTTTGTATTTTATATTTCAAATACTAAGATTATAACAATCAATTTCATTATTTGAATTAAAAAATACAAAATATTTTCTACCTTTTTAAATACAAAGTACATAATACTTTTACGCTTAAATACAAATCTAAATAAATACATACTCCAATGAAATACAAAATACATTTGTATTGGCAATACTATGTTTTAAATAAAAATATTTCAAATACATGCCCAACTTGTATGTCCATCTATTTGAGATATACAACATTTTTAGCGTACAAGATTTATGCCCAAAGTACACAAAGTGCGCAGATTGAATTCAGTGCATTAAATACAATAGATTATATGAATACAATACATTATATGAACGTGTCTGTCTTATATCGTAACATTTAATTGTAATATGTGCAAAAAATTAAAATTATTATCTGTCATTTGTATATATATTTATCATTCTTATTTCATAATAAAATTTTGCGAACACATTTCATAAATTATTGTATCATTTTACATCTTTATAAGAATTATTGGTAAATTTTTTATGAATCGAGTATATTCAATTTCTATAGATATATCTTCTTCTATTTTGCATATAAATTTATCATGCCTAAATTTAAAATCGCAAAAAATACTGAGGCTTCATTTCATAAAAATTAAATATAATAATGGAGTAAATTAAACACTACCCATATAAGATACTGACGCTTGGAATCAATTCTCAGTCAATTTAATTCTTAATCAATCCAGTTTGCGAGAAATCGTATAAATATAGAAAGATAACTAATAAATAAGATAAAAAGCCTTGTTGCGCAGTATGCGTATGATATCGAAATTCGAAATGCGAGCGAAATAAAATGGCGCGCGAAAAATGAATGCTCCTTTTTCAATTTTCTGCAGATTGAGTGATCGATGATTACTCATTGCGTTTTGGACTGCTCAACATTTTTGTCGCGTTATATATTTTTGGATACATTCAATATATACCTATGGTTTCTATTTTTTTTCTATTCTTGTTGCGATTATCGACGACTTCAACTTTGAGCGCTGAAAATCCTGTGCGTTTCATTGAGGCGCGCTCGTGCAGTCACGCGCGTTTCCGTTGACATGGTGTCGCAATAAATAATTTACGAGACGATTAACGCTCTTTAGATGTCGACGTCTGTTCGCGACTTGCGAGACGCAAACAACCACTATTTAACAGGGCGAAGGTGGACTGTGTGCGTCAGGGTGATTTTTAGGGTCGCTTTGATTGGAAGGAGAGATGAGGGAGAGAAAAAATCGATGGCTGGTCCATAGATAAATATAGTATGTTAGTAGGTCAATGTAGCGTATTTAACACATAAAACCGAAATCGCATTACGATGACGTAGGAATGAAAATCGAACTTTAATTTGAAAGTTCACTTTAATCTTCTATAATATTCTATAATTTATAAATGATTCATTGTTTTGTTGAACTTTGTCCCACTTCCATGTTTAAAGCAGTCTTTTTTTAGAAGAAGTTTCTTTAGAAGAGATTATTATTAGCTATGGTGTCTCATGCTAAAATAAAAAATAATTTTGAAGTTAGGTATGCGATGTATACGTTCAGTTTTGGAAAAATTTCAACCAATTATTGAGAAAAAATAATTACACAGCAAATAAGCTATATATTATTGATTGAGAAAAAGATATACAAAAAATTATCTGTGGCATAATGTTTATTTTATTAAAATGAATTTTTATTTAAATATAACAAAATGAAATTTTATTTCTAGCAAATAAATCATTTATTTTATTCAATTCAGTAATAAATTTGTACTATTTATTTTATTTTTTACAATTAATAAAATATCTTTTACAGAAATGTATATTTTGGATCATTACTTCATTCAAATCTTTTCATAACTAATAAATATCGAAGAAATTGGAAAACGTCACATGTACGTCACAATATTTATTTGCGATTTGTTTTTTAGCATACAAGGATTTTCACTGTTACTTCATCATTAGTCATATATATGCTTATTTTCTTTACCACAATAATTTTAAATTTATTTTACTCGAAACTAATGTCACATTACTGATCTTATTTGTATTTTTAGCGCTTTATTTATTAGTTAGTCATTAAATAATTAAGAATTAATTCCGATTGGATACGTATACATATACATATGCATAGGTCAGCCCGTTTATCAGAAGAAGAACGTCAGAACTTCTTGTGAAATTTTTCTTGACACACGAGGGGATTGCATAAAGCAAAACTATAAATGGTAACGTTACATAGATAGATCTCTCTGCACATAAAAAAAATTATGTTGTATTAATAGCATTAACTAATAACAGATTAATTGAAAATAATCTAAATTCAATTATAGTAATAATAAAACAAAACATACTTTTACTTTAATAAAATATTATTTGTTTAATAATAATTAGACAAATAAAATTGCTTAATAATTGAATAAATAGCATTTAATTATAATCAAATATTTAATTAATAATATCCTTATCAACCCTTAATATATACGATGCGTTATTCGTATCTCCATCGTTTTTTCTTAAAATATTTAAACATCTGATTAAACTGATTTATATTCTTTTCCTAAAAAAATTTTGGCATTTAGAAAACAAGTTTTATGTCTTGTCGGCTCTCGTTCTCTTCGTATCCATCGAAAATGTTTTAAAAATTCACTTAGGTCATGAAAGATTTATTGTATAGAGTGTAATTTTTTGCAGCTGAAAAATTTGTATTTTTTTTAATCTTTAATTGATTTTCATTTATATTGCAAAAATTTCATTAAAAAATTGAAAATAAAACAATTTTTTTTGTGCAAAATATTACAAATAATTATATTCAAAGAATGTAATAAATGAAAGAATGAAAATAAAAAGTATTCAAATAAAAATTCAAAAATATTTTTTTCTAATTAGTTTTTCTAATGCAATATCAATGATAAAATGCATTGTTTAAAATGACAACAAACGCTCGATTTATGCCTATTTATGCACTGTAAAAAAAATGTCATTTTCAGATTACTTAAAAACTGAACTTTTTAAACAATCGACATTTAAACTATTTTATCTTTTGTGTTTTGGAATATCAACTTTAAAATATTAAAACATATTTTTTCATTAAACATTCCTGTTTAAGAGTTTTGCATTTTTGTATAAAAAATATCAGTCCAAAAATGTGAAATCTAACTTGAAGGAAAGAGTAAAAATCTGTCATTCTTATTCAGGAATGTAAACTTTTCTTAAGTGGCAATATTTTAATTCTTTTGAAGTGAGATGTCACTTTAAAAAATGTAGAGAGTATAAAATTATGTGTTTATCAAAGCGCGTATATACATTTTCTATGTATATAAGCTTGATAAGCGTCTAATCTAATTCACGTATAAGGATATTAACGGCCCCATGTCGCGTTGCGATATGCCGCATTGTTTTCCCATGGCAAGGTAAAGCGCGTGAAATCCAGTGCAATCGCGACAAAGAATTCCACATCAAAATCATTCACTGACTTGAATGTCGCGATCGATGTCGAAACGGGTTGCCCTTAGAATGATGTAAACTAATATTTTCCAAATATTAATATTTTTCAATTTCTGCCACTTCTAAAATAACATGCATGTTTTTGGATTTACATATTTTTGGAAAGGATGCGTTTTTTTTTTAAGAAGACAAATATGGAATTTCATTTGCAATTTACGATTTCCAAAACAATTCGCGGATTATAAAGTTCACGAAGTGGAACACGTGTACAATCCAAGTTTAATCGACACTTCGTGGCTTTTGTCAGCTTCTGCGCACTGAACCATTACTTGCCAGCATGCGAATCACACGTATGACAATTGTTCGAATTCGATAGACCACAAAGCGCCATCTCTGGAGTCTCAAGCGATCTTACATTGGATTATGAAGATTGTGGATATTAATCTTGCATCTAACAATGACTAACATTCCGTTACGGACTGTTGGCGAGATTACTTGGAAAAGGTAAGTACATTTTATTTAATTAAATTTTTTTAATTTTAATTAATTTAAATCTGTTTTTATTTGAAGTATTTTATGTATTCGAATATAGTTACACTTTGATAATCCAAAATAATCTTAATAAATATTGTTACATAATAAAAAAAAGTTAAAAAATCATGAATAATCCCACTCAATTATATATAATATTTTTTCCAATTTTCATTTATATAATAATTAATCAGTTGGAAAAGATTTACAGCTTAGAAAGTTAAATCAAATTTTAATTGGAAAGTTTTAGGAATATGTAGAATTTAATATATGACGGATAATATTTGTTACAGTTTTTTATTAACAAGTTAATTATTTGATACAAATTTAAAGATGAAAATCATGAAACATATGTATATATCGATTTGTTAATGAAATCTTAATAAAAAAGAAAAAAAATACTAAATGGATCAATATTGATACAGATTTCAATATGCAATTCAGTAATATTTTGTTATTATTTATTACATAATTTTAATAAAAAATTTCTATCAGGGCAATTGCAGACAACATTCACAATAATCATCTGTAAGTATTAGTGAATGCATTGAAGTGAATATACCGTCAACTTATAAATGATCATCTAAACATAGTCTGTAATTGGCCATATCTAAACCTTTCATTATTTAAAAAATTACTGCTTAAAATTAAAATTTACAAATAATTTTTTACTTAATTTTTTCGAGAACTTTTTTACTATAATATTAGGTGTAATAAAAAGAAATCCATTTATTTTTGCATGAAAGTGAATGGAAAAATAATGAATCTTTTTATTACACCTAATATTTTGAAACGCGAATTTTTAGACACCCTATATTTCACTTCAAGTAATATGTAAACACAATGACGTATCACAGTGACGTAATTGATGACGTAATTCAGTGAATTTTCTTTAAGTCTCAGTCAAGACGCTCTTGAATTTATTAAGTGTTACTTGGAAAAGATTCGATGTAAATATGACAAGAAAACAGATAATAGACTCGATCTATATATTTTATATTGTCAGTACTAAAAATTTATAACATACGTTATATGCACTATAAATTTTCAACATTGACAGTGAATACAGAAAATATAGAAACTTAAAAAAAAAAAAAAAAATATATATATATGTGTGTCCCAGCAACCATAAAATTTATAAAATATTTACAAAATATTTATAAAGCTTATTTTAAATATTTTGTATATATTTTTATGTTTTTAGATTGCATAATAAAAATATTTATTATAAATATTATGAAATATGTATTGTAAATTTTATAGTAAATGCTACGGAAATACTTATAATAAGACATTACATATAATTCAAATAAGAAATATTTAACAGAAATATTTATATTTATCATAAATATCCTGTGTTGTATTCTGTGTGTCTACAAGATTATATCCAAAGAGAATGTAAAGCCCCATACACAATACGAAGGAATAGTGATAGCAATAAAAATAACACGATTTCTATCAGAAACTATATTTATATAGTTAATATAGTATATTCCAGTATATTTGATTTTTGATAAGTTGAAATCGTGTTCTATCGTTATCGCTATTCCTTCGCATTATATCTGGAACTTAAATTGCTATAAGTACAAAAAGTGTAGAGAATAATCTTTCGTAGTTCACACTGTCCATACTAAAAAAAGATAATAATGAATGATATGCAATACGTGAGAACATGAACAGAGTTCCAAAGTGCGCCTACTCTCTTTGCTTTTCCTGATGAACATCGCACATCAAGCGAAGTAATTATGACATCCTTGACGAATCTGCCGCCAATCGCAAGGCTTTCCAGCAAAGTAATTCGAATCCTGGGATGCAATCCTGGTCCGATGACGTTGCAGGGCACAAACACTTACCTCGTAGGCACTGGACGCAGGTGATAAACTCTATTTTTATGAAGTGCATTTGAAAGACATTGAAAGTACAGTTACTGTTTGACAACACAAAGAGAATATCGAATTAAATTGTAAACTGGAATTAAATTGTAAACGTTTTCTTTAACAACGGAATTTCTTCTTTAATATCGAAATTGCGATATTTTTTGGATAACATTAAGTGAAGATCGAGAAAAATGTTTAACATAAAGACTTAGGTTAAAAAAATACGTCAATCGTACTAACATCGAATAAACAAATTTGAAATTTATGTGAAACTTTGAAAAATAATGTTCTGATATGTAAGGGAAAGTATTGTGATTAAAATTGCTGCTGCGTTCAAAAATCAGAGGAATTTAAAAAAATAAATAAACATGCATTGTTTTCTTAGGTTAGGTCTTACACCCGTTATATACGCATGCGCTAAATAGCGCGCTATTTTTTAAATCTTAAGAGTAAAATAATATATTTTGTTTTATTTACAAAAAAAAAGGATGAAAACATCGTTTTCGAATATACTGTCATCAATCAACAAACAATCAACAAACTTTCTTGAGAACATTAAGATTTTTTAGACGATTTTTTCATTAAGAAGATTTTTTAAAAATACGCTTTCCGTTTATATTAAATTGTTTTATCATTTGAAGAACTACGAGAATCGATTATCTTCGTTCTTGTGCACTTTTTTTTTATTAAACTCATTATCTCATTGTCCTTGATTTAGTTATGTTTGAACGGTTAATAAAGTTAAAAAATATCTAAGAAGGAGTTACAATAATTTTCAATCATATTACTAATGATTATAATAAGCTATACTTTGAAAAACTGAGGGTGTAATAATAAAACAATAAATAAATTATTAAAAAATTACATAAATTCTTCAATATTTCTTTTAGCAAATAATGTCCTTATATTATTAGAATAATCGCTCTTATCATTAAGCTATTGTTATATCTCTTCTAATATTTTTTAATCTTACGAAAATCGCATGGAAAAGCAATAAATGAAGTACATATTTATAATAAGTATATAATAGAAATTTAAAATGCCTATTACGGTCGAAGCTGGATCTTCATTGCTTTAAATAATTTAAACTTGTATTAATAATTAACTAATAGGCATTTTAAATTTCTGGTATTGATTGAATTCTCACATATGGTCTAAAAAAAATAAAGATTCTTAAGTATATAATAATTTGTAATAATTTATTATAAATTGTATTACAAATTGTTATAAAGTTTAAATTATCTTTATTT